GGAGTCACTGGAAAAAAGGAGGAACCACTGAACCTATGATGCGCCGTAGCGCGCCTCCCTAGAATTTTTTTGCCGCGAAACCGGTACAAGGTTGTTCGTCGCAGACCACTCTAACCTCCTGACGCCATATTTCAACTTCGATACCTGATCGCGGACCGTGCCTTTGAAGATAAACTATTCCCTCACTTGCGAGAGGACGTTCCTTGCCATGTATAAGTATAAAGCCATCTTTTATACTTTGCGGCAGCGTAGCGCAGCGTAGCGTAGCGCTTCCAGCGTACGCCAGCGGCAGTGCCGAAGAGAGGATGCATATCGATCTAGCTTCACCAGCGTCACCAGCGGCACGCTGGCGTACGCTAGCGGCACGCTAGCGTACGCCAGCGTTTCTCCAGCGTTTCACCAGCGTTTTGCTAGCGTTTGCAGCGGCAGGGGAGTAGAGACTATGGGAGACTTGGATCGGGTTAACAAAACACATCGATTGCGCGTCTCTCACTCGCCCTTAGTCTCTACAATGCACATCGCTTCTGCGTCTCCGACGGCCACATAGTCTCTACAATGCACATCGCTTCTGCGTCTCCGACGGCCACATGGTCTCTACAATACACGTCGATTCCGCGTCTCTCACGGCCACATAGTCTCTACTCCCTGCCGCTGCAAGCGCTAGCAAAACGCTGGTGCCGCTGGAGAAGAAAACGCTCGAGAAACGCTGGTGAAGCTAGATCGATAGCTATGCTTCCCGTGCCCTCGCTACGCCAGCGTGCGCTAGCGGCACGCTAGCGTACGCTGGTGACGCTGGTGAAGCTAGATCGATATGCATCCTCTCTTCGGCACTGCCGCTGGCGTACGCTGGAAGCGCTACGCTACGCTGCCGCAAAGTATAAACGCAGCCTAAGGAAATGGGTCACATGTACAGTATCACCGCCACTATGTGCGGTCAAAAGCGCACGGGAACGGGAAGTGTTAGTAATACCTGGGTGTTGTATAAATACTCCGCGTTGCCGCCTGACCATGGCCGAACGCCCTGATTGCTTGTGCCCTCTCAGCTCTAGCTGTTCTTTACCGCTAAGGACGTGATTCGCTTTGAGATATCGACTTAATCTATTCCGTTTCCACATTACAGCCAGCGACCAAGTACCCGGAATGTGAGTGTGCCGTCCTGTCCTTTAAGCAGTCGCATTGCTAAAATTCCCAAGACGCGGGTCCTCTGCAGACTTTCCGTCCGCTCCATCAACTTAACGATGACCTTTATGTGCTGTTTGTTGTCACATTGACCCTGCGCTTACAACTCCCTGCCCAGCTGCCAAGTTTACCACCTCGACGATGGGTTTTCGCACCAGGCAGATGCTTGTACTCTGCATCCAGGTTCGTGAGAACTCCCCTCCCAATGCCAATACGGTGGACGTAGATATTACAGTGGACACTACACTGGCATGAAGGCTGAGGACCGACTGTTTCACGCTATACAGTATTGGGATACACCAAAATCTAAAGGAAAGAGTCACCTTGGTCAAGCTCCCGCAAAAATGTTTCCATATTCGATGTGATCTGGTCAGCAGCATGCAACAGATCTCCCTGAAATCAAAGCGTGTTGAGGCCCTCTGGCCGCAATTCATTGCACGCTCAACCACACCTACCTGAAGGCTTGTTGCAGGTACACTGCCTGCTCGGAATGCGTTTGATACCTTGGTGTTGACGCCAGAAAGAGATTCTGGTATTTGCGACATTGACGCTGATGGGAAAGGTGCTGATCCGGGCGCCTGAAAATTGAAATAGGAATTCATATCGAGTTAGAGAAAGTGATGAAAGTGTTAATCAAAGTTATTTGTGATGTACCAGAATACGAATCAAGGGGTGTGCCGATTCCTCAGGATATTAAGTTAATTAGCTAACAAACACTTTTGAGACTGTCCCCGCACCTGAGGAATTCTTGGTAGGCGTACAAGTAGCCTGGTCTTCAACCTACGAGAATTATACCACTTTCGCGTTTTTGCAGTAAGCAAAGATGGCGCTGCGGCTCCCAGAAAAGGCAGTTCTCATGCCTCCTCAGTTGGCCGGCCCACCGAAACTTCAAGGCACTTTCTGTCACGAGTTCAGTTTGTACACCGTGTTCTTTTTCATTGTTAGATGGTAAAAGCACTTGATGGCGCGAAAAAACGATTAGTGAGCCATGGGCGGCAGGATAGCTTTTTCTGGCATGAACCAGCTGGTGCGGAACTCTCGTCCAGAGAGGCTGCCAGGTATTCACTTGGGGTACTTTCCACTATATTTTTTGCTTATTTCTTCCCTGAAAAGCCATTTAGCAATTATAACTTTGCAGTCGCACCACTGACCACAATATAAAATCGCTGGGTTTCTCTTTAACCTTTGTGCGCGTTACCACAACGTGAAAGTACTGTCGTCATCCGGACACTTGATTAGGGCGGCAAGGGTCGCGACGCGGCTGCGGCATGTCACGAGCGCGGCGATCAGCTGTTTCGAGCCTATTT